TCAGCAGGATTCTTTGCAATGCCATATACAGTACAGAATCATATTTTCTTTGTACTGTGATGGAGAGGAATTTGTAGTGGTTCAATTTGACTGACTAAAATATCAATACTACAGGGATATATGAAATTTCACTTGCAGCTTACTAGTAAATTTAATTCGTCGAATTCTTTTTGCAGCTGTAACCACTGCTGCCCAACTGATGGGTTGCAGTTCCCAGGAATTAATGACGGCATTATCTACCCAAAAAATCCAATCTGACAAGGATACTATTACCAAAAATTTGACATTGAGGCAGGTGTGTTTATTATTTTCTATTTTCTATGGCCCTCATTGTTCTATTCTCTAAGGCTCTGAATGCTCTATTTTCAATATATATGTGTTGGTGGGGGAGGATATATAGTGACTAGTGAGACTGTGAGAAGTGAAATGAGTTGATCTTGGCCATACAACCATACATGGATGGTTGTTTGAGATTGTTTAAAGTTAAATCTAATTTTAAACCATCCACTTACGGTTAAGAATCAAGATTAGATCCTCTTACGTTCTCACTTGATGCACTTTTTATGCATGTGTGTATGTTTATCTTTTTCACATTCTTTGTACAGGCAATTGAAAGAAGAGATGCAATTGCAAAATTTATCTATGCAAGCTTGTTTGAATGGCTTGTAGAACAAGTTAACAAGTCACTTGAAGTGGGTAAAAAACGTACTGGGAAATCCATAAGTATCCTTGATATTTATGGATTTCAGACTTTCCAGGTGTGCAATTTGTATTAACTTGTTAGCTTATGCTTCGAAGAACATTGCATATGTTCTAATAGTTTATCGTATCTCTTTTTCAGAAAAACAGCTTTGAACAGTTTTACATAAATTATGCCAATGAGAGGATTCAACAACATTTTAATCGGCATCTGTTTAAACTTGAGCAGGAGGTTGGTAACTATGTTAAGTGTTAATATTGCTGGGTATTTTGATGCCAGTTGCCTTTAATTTGAATTAAATAGTGTGATATAATTCCATGAATTTTGTTTCTGAACACTAATGTCTTAAGAGTATAAGTGTGAATTCCTTGAAAATTATTGTTTCTTTACATTTAAAGTTTTAATACTTCTATACTTCTACATTTAAAGTTTTAATACTTCTATATAAGTGTGAATTCCATAAATTATTGCCAAATACTAATGCAATAAGAACATATTTTGGACAGTGTTATTGGTATAATAGTTAAACACATTGGCTTTGTAGTTAAAATTCATTCATGGTGTTTAAATAGTGGTATGTTATGTAAAAATTACAGTTTAATCGTAAAGGGCATATTTCAAAGAGTTAAAGTTGTTTGGTACTATTGTTGTCTGATAAGGGTTGAAAAAGAATCCATTTAGAAGAGGCACTATTTTTGCTAATGCACAAGATTTTTATCACAGGCTAAGTGTGTGTTATTCATTAGGTTTAACAGCAATATTGCATTTTTTTATTTTATCAGGACTATGAATTGGATGGCATTGATTGGACTAAAGTAGATTTTGAGGACAATCAAGGGTGTTTGGATCTATTTGAGAAGGTAATTATTTGATTTGTTTCTAAATGTTTGAGTTCTCCATTGTTATGGTTGTAGTTTTATTTGTTTCCACTTCCAGACACTATTTTTCTGGAAAGCATATTATTTGTTTATTTATTTTATAAAGAAGTTGTGTTCAGGTCCCAATGTTAGGGAGCTGATTTGTGTAGTCATTATGTTATCTGTTGCAAAATGTGCAGAAACCTTTCGGTCTACTCTCTTTGTTGGATGAGGAGTCAAATTTACCCAAGGCTTCTGATTTAACATTTGCCAACAAACTTAAGCACCACCTGAATGCTAATCCTTGCTTCAGAGGGGAAAGAGGCAGAGCTTTCCGTGTTTGTCACTATGCAGGGGAGGTTAGTTTCTGCTCTCTATTTAGGGAGCTTTGTATGTTAGGTCCGACAAAATCTACTTCATTTTAATGTTTAAAATTTAGATTTGAATTGATACTTTGATTTACTAGTCTAACTTTTGCATTATTTTCCACAATATTCTATGTAAAGGACTATCATATAATGTATGGACATTATAAACCACAGATTTAAGATATGTAACAGTAATTTGTCATTTATATTTAATTGGAGTATAATCTTATCCAGCATCTGATTTGCAAAATGTTTGAATTTCTGAATATGATTATTTAGTTGTTTCTAAACATGGTGTTTTAAATCTGGACCTTGTGTTGTTAAGTGACTATGAGTAAATTATTACTAAATTCCTGAGTGTGTATCATGATAGCCAATTTCATTTGGTGCACATTACTAATGTCTGGACTTCTATCAGGTCTTGTACGATACAAATGACTTTCTAGAAAAGAACAGAGATATGTTGTCGTCTGATTCCATTCAACTCCTGTCATCATGTAATTGTGAACTGTTGCAGTTGTTCTCCAAAAAGTTTAGTCAGTCTCAAAAGCAGAGTGTTGCAACAAAGTTCAAGGTAATCTTGGAGCGTTTCTTGAGTTTCTCTAGCTTTATTAAGATTTGGAAAGAAACGATTATGTCTTGTTACAGAGGATTCGAACATGAGGATGGACAATGAATGCTATCCTAAAAACAACATTATTGAATAATATAGTACAGAAAGTATACAAAGATTTAATTGAAATGACATATATGTTGAGGGAAATAAATCTAACTTGTTTTGTACTTTTAGGGTCAATTGTTCAAGTTGATGCATCAGTTGGAGAGCACCACCCCTCACTTTATACGCTGCATAAAGCCAAATGCTAAGCAGCTTCCTGGCATTTATGATGACAACCTTGTCCTACAACAGCTCAGGTGTTGTGGAGTTCTAGAAGTTGTTAGACTTTCAAGGGCTGGATATCCTATTCGAATGACCCATCTAGAGTTTTCCAGAAGGTAGTTGAGAAAATTCCCATGGCTTTTAGATTATTTTGAATGATGGGTTGATTTCAGTTTCTTAATGTATCTAGGTATGGGTTTCTGCTTTCTGAGCCCAACGTATCACAGGATCCATTGAGCGTCTCAGTTGCTGTTCTGCAAAAATTTAATATCCCTTCTGAAATGTACCATGTTGGCTACTCCAAATTGTATCTTCGAGTAGGCCAGGTATATGTCTCTAAGGTCCAAGTTTTCTGCAAGGCTGGAATTCTTTATACTGTTTTCATCCACTGCTTCATGTTGGTAAAATTTGTAACTACCCGTCCATAGTTTGGCATTGGAAACATATTACATGCTTAATTGCACTTTGAAAAGCTGTATGTGTAGAGTGTAGGCTTCTCATCATGCTAAAACATAAAGAGCTGTGTTGAGCTTAACTTGACTTGAACATAACAATTGTGCTACTCAAAGTTTATCAACAATTTGTTTTACTGAATTAGTATTCTGTTTTTGTACCATGAATGTTTTGCATAGAAGAATTTTAAATTATATGATGCATCTGTTGTGTGATGTTTTAGTTAATTTTAAATTAATTCACATTGTGGTTTCTCTGACTTGGTTATTCTTTTATGTAGATTGGTTCGCTGGAGGATAGGAGAAAACAGGTTATGCAGGGAATACTTGGGATTCAAAAATGCTTCCGTGGTCATCAAGCGCGTGGTCGTTTCTGTGAACTTAAGAATGGAGTGTCAACATTACAATCATGTACTGCCATCAATTTTATTTTCATTTGGAGCAAAACTAAATTGTAGGCATTATGCACACTTTTCTTCATTGAAATGAAGAATTGTTACGTAAATGTTTTTCATAAAAATATAATTGATAAAGAATCCTCAGTGCAGTTTGACTTGTGCTTTCAAATTATAATTTGAAAACCTGATTGATGTTCATTCAGTGAAGAACTTTAGATGCATAAACATATGACTCAAATCATAATTTTTTTTACTGGATTATTCATAACCTTGGTTCTAGTTTGTTTCTAAATTGCTAATTTGGTTACATTACAGTTATTCGTGGAGAAAATACAAGAAGGAAATATGGTGTTACAGTGAAGTCTTCGATGACGATTTATTCTAGAAAACTGGAGGAGATCCATGCAATCATACTATTACAATCTGGTGAGAATGGTTTGGCTTTCTGTCATGTTTACCTTCATTGTTGGTGTTGAAGTTGATTTGCTAATTATCTGTTTCCTTTTCTTGCAGTAATTCGTGGGTGGCTAGTTAGAAGGGATGTTAGTCATGTAAATAGGCTGAAGAAATATCCTGAAAATGCTAAACCTAGGCAGAAGTCCAGTATGAAGATATCAGAAATGAAGGTACTTTACTGTGCACTTAACTCTAGTCTCGTTTTCTGTGTCTTAATTTATATATTATCTCCATCTATTTGGTTAATTTTCACATGTTGTATTACGTTAAAATGTAATTTCCCTGTTGTTTATTCTATCTGACAAAAACTTCTGGCAATTTAAACTTCCAAATTCAAGTTCATGTAACTTTCAGTTCATTTTGACCCACCAAACAATACTACTTCTTAGACAAGTGTCTATGGGTATGATGGATTTTGAGCCTACCAAAGTATTTTGAATGTCTAAGGACAGTGTATATCTGTTTAAGACGAGACTCACTTTTCAAAGAACCAAATTGAATTGATGTCTGAGAGGTCAAACCATGGAATTAATATACCTTTTGAGAGATTTGATGGAAAGACTTTGGAGGAAATGAAAAGATCTAAGCGTGGTTGCCATTGGCTTAGAAAAAACATGATAGGGGAGTCTTGTGGAAGGCATTGGAGAGTAGGGGAGTTCATGTTGCTTACAATCAGGTCATGCCTTCGAGTAATATGTATGATGAGGTTAAAACCAGTGTGCTCACACATGGTGGGGTTTACACCAAGGGTTAAACCTTGACCCCTATTTATGTTATTTTATTTTATTTTATTTTTTTTGGTTTTGAATGTTCTTACGGATCATATCAAGAATGCATGTTTTTTGCATATGATATCTCTATTAAACTAGGGTTATGGTGGAAGCTTAGGAATCACTTGGCTTCTGTTTAAAACAGAAGTAAAACAGAGTACATGGAATGCATATTCAATATGAAGCATGCTAGCATCAGCTGTGAGGTGAAAATTGAAGATAATACATGTCAGAAGTCAGAGAGTTTAGGTATCTTGGATTTATCATACAAAACAACAGAGAAATAGAGAGAGATGTAAATCACAGGATTCTGAATAGGGTGGATTCAATTTAGTGGGTATATTTGGCACACAGATGGAATACACTTTAAAAATATAAGTTCCTTTGAGCAAACTAGAGAAAGTTATGATTCAATTGGATCGAGTAAATTTGTCCCTTAAGTGAGATTGAAAAAAAAAACTGTGTTGTTGCTGCCAGCTTTCACCAAGTCAACTACCAGATGATAAACAAATTTCATGTCTTCATTTTTTTTGGCAATTGTACTATCATATAAACCTTCTAGTTGGATGTTACAAAAACTATTGATATGGTGTGTTTCAACACATAACCCCTTTCTTTTTGGTTTGGCAGGATTTGTCCAAAGAGCCAGTTCAGAATCTGCTTTCAGCTTTAGCAGAGCTGCAAAGGCAGGTTGACAAGGCAGATGCAATTGTGGAGCAAAAGGAAGAGGAAAATACTGAATTGAGGGAACGGCTAAAACAATCTGAGAGAAAGAGGATTGAATACGAGACAAAAATGAAATCAATGGAAGAGGCTTGGCAAAAACAGATGGCATCTTTGCAAGTAAGTTTTCAGTTCTGACAAGTCTTCAATTTTTGACATACGATTGTTAGAGTAATCGATGCAGTAGATTGGTCTGATCAAACCTAACTTTTGACTACTTTATTCACTTATAAACTACATGAACAAGTTCCTCCTATTCTGATAAAAACCTTGGGATTTCCACACAACAAAAACTAGCAGTTGTAGTTACAGAGCCTGAGGTCTTATAAATCCTATACTTCCGATATGGAACTCGAATCTCATTCATTGCAATGGGATCCTAACATATTCCCTCCACTCGATAAACAAATAAATCATCAGAAAAAAAATAAATTGAACTTCCATCACTTGTATCAGTTTTCTTAGAGAATTATTAGAGGGAATTGTTATTACAGACTACTTAGATATCAAGTTGGATTCAGCTTTGAATTTGTCATTACTAATAAGAAAACACAGTTCCCAAGAAGTTACCGTGTTTGATTTTCTAATCTACAAGAGCTTTTTGTCCTTTCTATAAGTCAGATGCACAAGGATTTCATATCCAACTGAAACTTCAATAAAAGATTCTGATTTCAATTTGAATGCAGATGAGTCTTGTTGCTGCTAGAAAGAGCCTTGCTCCTGAGAATGCTACCGTTCAACCTGTGAGACGTGATTTCATGTTGCCTCAAGGTTATGATTCTGAGGATGCTACTTCCATGGGGTCTCGAACACCAGGTGGAAGCACACCAAAGTTTTCTGGTAGTCTATCTACCTCTGATGCAGGGAGACACGTCAATGGTACTTTGACTACAGTCGGTAATCTGATGAAAGAATTTGAACAGCATAGACTGAACTTTGATGATGAAGTAAAAACTTTGAATGAGGTTAAACCAGGGCAGTCTGCTAACACAAATAACGTTGAAGAACTTCGGAAACTTAAACAGAGATTTGAGGGATGGAAGAAACAATACAAGGTTAGATTACGTGAGGCTAAAGCAAGGGTTTATAAATCAGAAACTGAAAAAAGTCGGCGAACATGGTGGGGGAAGTTAAGCTCAAGATCATAATGGCATTCACCATTCAGTTTTTAAACTCTCTTTGCTGAGAATAGAAATGCTGAAGATTTAGCAAAAATGGCAAAATGATTGTTGTCATGAACTTTGTTCTTTCTGAGGAGTTGCTTCTATGTCTTGCAGAATCACTTGATAAAAGTGTTACCAATTTACTCGTTGAAGGGAAAGAAATTGTATATCTACCAATTTTGTTACATGGTGGAAGTATCATAGGTTGTGCATAGTGGTAGAATTGTAAGGTCGTATAGTTGTATTGGTTAGTCTATAGTTTGCTTGTGTATATTTTTGGGGGTGAAAAAACAGTAATGGCTCATGTATATTCTGTTGATGCTGATGTGATCTAAAACTTAGCCTCGAAGATATTAATAGCAAGTTTTAGTATCTTCAATGTCAAGGGAAAAAAATTCTGGTTATCGATAGAATGAGTATAGTTTTAAAACATTTGCCTCCGGGCTTCCCAACTGTTTAATAGACACAAAAAGTTTGTCTTTCAGGTACCTAATAGGCCACAGAAAAGAGGGGATAGAGGGGGGTAACACATGCTTATAATAAAAAAGATTCCATACATGAGTCGAAAGTAGTGACTAAAGATCCATGGTTTACAATACATAATTAATTAAATACCCGTTGAATGTAAGTACAATAATAATCCAAATGAAGTAACTAGTTCAAACCCAACAAACTGATAAAAGACAAACCGACAATATCATGGATCTATACTCCATCCCTCGAATATCACATCAATTACTCACGATTGCCAGATATTCCTCTTAAAGGGATGTACAAGCATAAGCCATCAGTTTCTTGCAAGGTTTTCCCCCTTGATGCAATTGCAGGTTTGGGGAAAAAGCACTTTATGTGCAAAGTCTTCAGGAACATTGTTAGGGAACCAGTAACCACCCAAGTGGAAACAACCTCTTAAGAGTTGTACAAAATCTCACACCTCAATGAACTAACCACCATATACAACTAGGTAAACCAAGAGAAGAAAACAATAAAGGACCTATTGGTTCAGAATAAGAAGGCCACAGAACAATCATTGAAGGTCTCAAATTCTCAATTAAATTCATGATCAACTTCCCCAGTTTTCATCTATTGGTTTAATGAGTTTGATTTTTATGTACTATCAATGTAAAATAAAATATCTCCTCAAATAATCACAAATTTACATGTATGATAAGTTTGTTGAAATTTATAATAACTACTTTTAAAAGTCAGCCTGGACTATATAATTCTTTTTACTTCATTTACACATTGTGACATCATGAAATAAATGTGACTTCATAGGTAGTATTAAACTTTTGATGTGAAAAATTATGATTTAGTAATAGTAGAAAAAACTTTTAGACAATGAATCAAAATTAAACCTTTTTTTTTTGGTAGGTAAAAATTAAACCTTATTAAATTGCTTTATAACATTTTTCAACTAGTTAATCTAACAAAATCCAATCCACTACCAATAGTCTGAACAGGAACACTTGCCACTACTGAAATGATGAAACCGGTATGCATCCCTTAATATGATTTTCCTGCCAATTATTTTACTTACCATCTTGAAAACAGAGTGACAATCACCACAGACGCGGAGATTCTTAAAAATTCTAAGAGGCGAGCCTTCGGAACTGTTGATCAACCCAAATGCAAGGGCAATTCTCTCACTATGGTTCCAAAGATTATGCTCCTTCTGTTCTTCATCTGTATCTTGCAAGGAATAGCTTGTGTCAGGCACATAGCCTGCCTCTCTAATAATCTTTTTGAGCTCTTCCAACTTTGCATAGATTTGTGCATTTTGTGGATGATACTGGTCTCCCATTCCGAAAGTAGTAACCTGGTTTTTCAACTTGATCCAACTACAGGCAGGTTTCTTCTTTATATTGTGTGATTCCATTTGCTTCCTCACATTCTCCACATCTCTCCACCTTCTAGTTGATGCACAGACATTTGAATAAAGAACATAGGCCGAATCGTCGGATGAATCCAGCTCGAAAAGATGGTCAGCAGCCTTCCTCGCAAGCTCCAAATTGCCATGTATTTTACAAGCAGCCAACAGGCTACGCCACACTAGGTCATTTGGTGGAACTGGCATCTTGTTAATGAAAGTTTCAGCCTCAGCAAGCCTTCCTGCTCGCCCCAGAAGGTCAATTATGCATACACAATGCTCTATTCCAATGGGGACGCCGAATTCAGTAGACATCGAAGAGAAGTATGCAAGGCCCTCGTCCACCAAACCACCATGGCTGCATGCAGACAAAAGTGAAACAAAAGTGACATGGTCAGGTCTCAGTCCCAGATCAAGCATCTCATTGAAGGCTTCCTTTGCCTGTTGGAAAAAACCATGCCTAGCTAATGCTGATATTAAAATGTTCCAAGACCTCTGTGACCTGCTTCTCGGTCGGGGAAGGATTTTAAACACACAATCAATTTCCCCACATTTTCCATACATATCCATTGTTGCATTTAAAACATAATCATTTGACTCAAGCCCAAGTTTAATAATCAAGCTATGAAGCTGCTGACCTTCATCCAGTAAAGTTAAGTTACCAATAATGGAAAGAGCTACTGAGAAGCTAAACTGATCTAAATGAACCCCATCATTCCTCATCTTTACTATAAGTTGTAGTGCCTCCTCACCGGGCCCGTAATGAGCATTTGCGGAAATAATGGCATTCCAAGTACTAGAATTCTTATTAGCTAATACATCAAAAATATAGTTACTTGTATTAAGATCACCACACTGGGCATACATTGTAATTAGGGAGCTTTGAACAAATGTATCTGATTCAAAGCCTGCTACAACTATATGTGCATGGATAGGCATTCCATGTTTTAAAAGGTCATTAGGAGACAAACAAGCACCGAGTAGATTAACAATAGTAATGTAGTTTACAGGCACACCTTCTTGTCTCAAAGAATTGAAAGCTTCAATTGCTGCATTAGGTTCTTTGTTATCAGCATGTCCACCTATTAGTGCATTCCAAGTTACTACATCTCTCTCGGGCATAATTTTGCACACCCGTTGTGCCTCAGCCATGGAACCAAATTTCGCATACATGGTGACCAATGCGTTACCAACGACCAAATTGTGATGGAGATCAAGAAGAATTACAAAGGCATGAACAATCTTTAATTTTTCTAAATTATAGCAGGCAGATAATGCAGTAGTGAAAGTTACATAGTTCATCGCCTTTCTTGTTTGAAGCATCTCAACCAAAAGTTGAATGGCTCTTGGATACTTTTCATTCTCAACATGGCTTGTCATCATGGAATTCCACGAAATTAAATCTCTGTCTGGCATTGTACGAAATACAAACTCTGCATCCTCAGATTTTCTGGCCTGAGAATACATGCTTAGAAGACTATTGCATACGCAAACATTTGATTCCAGTCCAGACTTTACAACCACGCCATGAAGTCCCCTTCCCCACCTCAAATTTTGTGCAGAGCCACATACAGGTAACAGGGCTGAAATAGTAATATAATCTGTTTTTGCATGAGTACGACGCATCTGAGCAAAGTACTCTAGAGATTCTTCACAATGACCAGTATGTACACATGCAGTAATTATCGAATTCCACGAAATAGTGTCTCGTTCCTTCATGTCATCAAACACACACGACGCCTCCTCTATGCTATCATAATTACCAAACATGGAAACAAGGGAGTTCGCCACAGACACACTAGTGTCCAATCCAGATTTGATCACACTACCTAGCACCTGATAACCCATTCTTTTATCTCCAACCACTCCACAAGACCTAACAACCGTAGCCATTGCATTTTCATTACAACACACCCCATCGCGCCTCAAACGCTGATAAACATTCAGAACCTCCTTCACACACCCATTATAAGCATAACTAACCATCAAAGAAGTCCAGGACACTATATTAGGCTCCTCAATCTCCTCAAAGAGCATGTCAACCTCAGAAACCCGACCACACGTGCCATAAAAGTGCAGCAAGCTAGTGGCAACAAACACGTCGCACACCAAACAGCATTTGATCACATGGGCATGCACCTGAAGTGCCCCTTCAGCCATGCACCCTGACCTATCACAAGCAGTAACCAAACTAGCAACCGCAAAACTGCTTGGCTTGACACCATGTCCAAGCATGTGAATAAAGAGTTCCATTGCTTGATAGTACCCACCAACTCTAACAAACCCTGACATCATGTTATTCCAAGAAGCTTCGTTTCTCTCAGGCATTTTATCAAACACGTGCTGCGCGTGCTTAATGCTGCCAAACTTGGAGTACATGCTGATCAAGGTGTTTGCTTGGAATGTGCCTAGTGGGATGACACCCTTCACGCAAAACGCGTGAAGGGCTTTCCCAACAATGAAGTTGGTGATTTCGGAAAAGCCCTTTTGAGGAAAGCGTGAAACTTGGGGGTTGGGGTGGTGACCATAGTTCAAACATGTGGTGGGTGGGGCGTGCACAAGGGTAAGAGTGCATAGCTTTCTGCAATGTTCTGATAATCGAATGCGGTTAGACACACCGCAAGATAAATAGTCGATAATTGCTGAGAATGAATGCAAAGACAAATTTTTTGCAGTATTCATTCAACGGGTAAATGAATTAAGAGTGAAAGTGAAGTTTATTTAAAAATGGCATGGCTTTTTTGAGTGGGACGAATCCTTAAACTTTGGGGATGGCAATGCAATGCAATGCAACTTTGGGGAGTAAAATTAAATTGGACATGGTTAGTCAATAAAAAAATAGTGTAATAATTTGTGATTATTTTATATTATCAAAATATTTATTTATTTATGTCTGAAATTTATACACAATTACGCTAGTTTTGACATATTTTACTAGTCAATGGGTTAATTTTTAATTTTAATCAATTATTTAAATATTTGAGTTAATTTATCACTAGATTTATTAAAACTGTTTGCATCAATTACTTACAGATATTATTAACAGATTAATTTATTTTAAATTTTGTCAATAACAAATTAATTCGAGCTAAATTTAATTAATTACAATAAAATATGTTAGTAATTTTTTATAAATAATGAAAAATTAAATCAATCAAACAAACGATTAAACTAAATCAAATGATTTGATTGATTGATTAAAGTTTAATAATTGATTGTCACAAAATACGTTGAAGTTAAAGTTAAAGATATTATAAATCCAAGTTCACACTACTATTGGTGTTATCGACTAACAAAATAATTGTCTTCTATAAAAGATAGTTGTGTTACAAAAAAAATGCATTTATTTATCATCAGTCAGAGTTACTTTACACTCTTTTAGGCTACATCAACTTGAAGATTACTCACCATCTATATTGTTAAGCATTTCAAGTTTAAAACATTTGGTTTAAGAAAATATTACTAATTAAGCTGTAACTATTACATGTAGAGTACTAGAAACTGAAAATGTTGCTTATTGTGTTTTTGCTCATATGTAATATTTTGTGCCTTGGCAAGGACTTCAAAGCATGGAATGTGAGTCAAATGTGCACACAGACCTTGTTGAGATTGGTTGGCATCTCCATGTTCCATACTTTTGTATTTGGCAACAAAATAGTGCTTAGTTTCATATTTTTGGGCAACCTTATTTCTGAACATGCTCAAATATGATGGTAAACACAGTCATGTAGTCATAATGTACTTACTGCAAGACCAACTGATATTTTTGACATGCTGATTCTAATTTCAATTTCAAGTTTGCTCATACTATTAAATAACAACTCTAAATCTATAGGGTACAGAAAAATTGAATTGATAGTCCATTTTTTAATTATCCTAGTTACATAATATAAGTCAAGTCACTTTCTTCCTTAATTTAACATTGCTGTGTCTTCCAATTCATCTGTTTAATAAATCAACAGTTTTAAAATGAACCTTAAAAAGTCCAGTCCACTAATCTGAAAAACATTGTGATAGTAATTAATCTACAAGGAAACTTCCACTCCATATCATGGTACTCATTAACACAAACCAGGCCAAGAAAAGCCAAATTCAAGACCCAGGCACAAACTTGGTGGCATAGACCCAAGCATTGTTGGCCACAGGGTTGTCAAGGTGGTCCAAAAGGTTCTCAAGAGGTCCTTTCCCAGTCACAATGGCTTGGACAAAGAATCCAAACATGGAGAACATGGCCAACCTTCCATTCTTGATTTCCTTGACCTTGAGCTCAGCAAAGGTGACAGGATCATCAGCAAGGCCAAGAGGATCAAAGTACTGACCACCAGGGTAGAGATCATTGCCCTCTCCAACCCCTGGAAGGCCATTGATTCTGAACCCTTCAACTAGTCCCATGAGAACCACTTGGAAGCCTAGGACTGCCAAGATGCTTTGTGCATGTACAAGGTTGGGGTTCCCCAAATAGTCAAGGCCACCCTCTGAGAATATCTGAGCTCCTGCTTTGAACCAAACTGGCTCCTTGAAGTCCACTCTTACCCACTTCTCAAGCACTTCTGGGGTGATGCAACCTAGTGCTCCAAGCATAGCCCAACGCCCATGGATCACCTTGATGAAGGTAACAGTTTAGTATATTTCACCATGGCATGATAAATAAAGAACAAAACTTAAATGTAGTGTCATACGTAGTATTAGTATTGTTTTCCAATCAACAGTACCAATATAATATCAACAGTACCAATATAATATATGCAAATTAAATGATTCCATCAAATGTTAGTGAGGATTAGAGAACAGTACCAATAATATGTAAGTTTTATCCAATGGTAATTTATTTGGCCTTTAGTGATTTCTTTATGAAACACAGGTTTAAATCCATTTGAAATTGCTATAGTTTTCTCAATTTTGGTGGGTTCCTATACTTCAAAAGTTTGGTTGATTGAGTCTTTATAGTTTCCTTTTGTTAAAGAATTGGTCTTGGTGTGGGGATCAAAACCAAGGTAGGGACTTAAAATCAAACTTTAGCAGTACAGGACCAAAATCAAAATTGAAAAAAAAAAAAAGAATTCAAACTGAATTTAAACCTAAATCAAATCATACAAGCTTGCAAAGGAAGTTGATTCTTACTTCAAACTTCAAAGAGCAATTGAAGTTGAGGCTTTCTAGTTGTTATCCTAGAATGTTTGTGAAGGAAGACTACTGCTAATACTATTTTTGTTTAGATTTAAAATCAATCAAAACCTACAATATTGTGTCAGAAAGGCAAATATTTGTTTATGATAAAGAAACTTGATGAATGTTTGCTTGTGATCACATCCCATGGAACCTTATGTTATTTGGTCCTATGAACAATTGAACCTTTTCATTGCAGTCTAAGCAAAAATAACTGACCTCAAGAGCCCTGTTCTTGGCAAATGCTTCAGGATCAGCAGACAACCCAGCAGTGTCCCATCCATAGTCCCCTGGGAATTCTCCAGTCAAGTATGAAGGGGTCTGAGCTGAAAAGGGTCCCAAGTATTTCACTCTATCTGGTCCATACCACAGTTCATTTCCCTGCTCATTCATCAACACAACCACACTACATAAGCCACACAACACAACCCAAAAACTAAAAGCAGTAAGCACTAAGAAAAAATATGAAAAATGTTCCACCAATGTTTTTTGAACAAGTGTGATAGCAAGTTATACCAAAGTATTTTAACAAATCTAAATTGTGACTTGTTAAAGCAATCCTTCTAAAAAGTAAATGGGAGGAGAATATTAGCACCATGAATGCTAATATTTTTTTTTTGGTGGAAACAACATGCATCTTCTAATAGAGACAATCCTGTTCTAGCTGGATTTAACACAACTGCATACTCAAAATTTGAACTCAAGACTCAAGACAGCTGGTTAAGCTAAAACAACTTCATACCATGAATGCTAATATACCCTCACATTAGATATTCTTCGAGGAGTATTCAATTTAAGTAAGTTGCATGTTGAAAATAACTTAACAAATCTAAAGTTACAACTTGGTAGTTGGTAATATATACTCTATAAAAACAAGGAGATAATATTAGGAAACAAAACCCCATGTAATATATATTGGAAAAGTACCATGGTGTATTTGCCAGTTCCCATGGAGACAACATCTCTAAGAGGGTTGGCATTAATTCCCCTACTTAGGCCAAGGAAAGGTGTTGGTTTAAGGACAGTGCCAGTGCTTGCTGTGGCTGCCATGGCTCCAAGTACTTCACTTCAGCTGAAACTTGAAACCTTCAATTTACTTAAATAGAAGACTTACAAGAACGGTTCAACAGAAGCTGGTAGAAACTAGGAAGAGGGTGTGTGCATGTAGCATCATATGTAGGGAGAGAAAATCTGAGGGA